ACGCGGCATGTCCAATCTACCGTGGACACACCACTAAAAACGGTTGGCCCATGATACCAACGATATATGAAAGCGATGAACTTCGCAGACATCGGCCACCGCCTCTCATCAGTCAGGACATGTTGGGACATCGGTCACTCCCGGCAGGCGCAGACGGAGTTAGTCAAAGGCGGCCCCGCTTGGCTTCCACAGGCTGGGCCAGGGAATTCGGGACAGGAAACTAGGACTTCTTTAGCATTCACCCCGCTGAAAAGCTCATATGGAACCTGAAAACCGGTTTGGAACCTGAAAACCCATTGGTTTGTAGAGTAAAACGCCTGAAAACCACTGATTGGTAGAGTCAAACCGTCGGACACAGGGTGCAAGTCTCGACCCGGGTCCAGTTTTCGGGAGTGTAGAAGTGTCCCTCAGGCCGGGTGGGAAACGGCGTTCTTCCAACTGTTCATTAGGAAAATCAACCTGACCAACACCATTTTCAGGAAACTGCCTCATTTTCGGAGGTGATAAAGATTGTTCTGGATTCCACTGTCTTGGTACATAACAATGCAGAAACCAAAGTTGGGCAAAAAGAAGGACCACATGCCGCCCTTTGCTGGTTGTTCGTTTCCCAAGTGTTTGACTTCCAGTTTTTTCCGTCCGGTTCTTGAGACATGTTCGTTTGCCGTTGTATTTCGTCGTTGATGCAGAGATCAAGAACCATGGGAACAACACAATAAGGCAACAATATATATATATATAATTAATATAGAGGGTGTGTGGATTAGTGAAGTGTATGAAGTGTATAACCAGATAATTATAGTATGACTTATGAAGTGGAGTCACTTTGATCCAGGTTGGTGTCCATGTGTTGATCCCCATCATTCCACTCCCAGGTCACGCGACTGCCTTCGCTGTCGCCTCCTTCCCGTCGTCTTCCGCCCCAGGTCACGATCAACGTGAGCGATCTTCCCGAAGCCACGGAGCAATTGACCAGCCCATCCGGGTTCCTTCGATGACGGAAGGGCGAAGGGATTGCGGGGAAGGTGGAGCCTAGCAGGAGAGGAAAGGAATGGCAATGAGAGTGCAATGAGACAATCCTGGCAGTGGTAGGGGACAATCATGGCAGGAGAGGAAAGGGATGGATGGGAGCCCATGTGCTTTTAAATGCGCAACATCGCCATGATATGGCAGCCGTCTTTGGGTGCAGCATGGGACAATCATGCAGTGAGTGGCTGAGTGGCCGTTGGTTCCGAACGCGCCGATCACAAGCACTAGTCACTAGACTTTGATGAGAAAGACCTGACTCTGAAGGTCATTGCTGGGGGGGTTGTTTGGTCATTGACCACACGTACGACTTGAGGACCACCATGGGCCACTGTTGGCAGAGGAAAGAACACTCTTGGCAGAGGACATGTTGACATATGTTGACATCTTGCACTTCTTCTATGCATCGTTTTTGTCCGTTCTTTGTGACACTCACCAAACCAGGAAAACCCTGTGGGTGTTTTCCACACATGGCCGACCCATTTATATAAACTCCCGAAAACTAACATAGACCCTGACAATGGCCCCCTGGAAGATTGTGTTCCTCTACCAACCAGTGGTTTTCAGGGTCCATGCTAGTCTTCCAGGGTGTAGGGGCATTTAACGTGGGAGTCATCTCTCTCTATCTCACACGATCTGCTGCAGGCCCAGTGTGTCCTTCTTGGGGCGGCGCGCCAGCAAAGCCAGTGCGGCATCCAAAGCCAGCGGAGTGCCTTGGGCCGGTGGCCCATGGGGGTCCCAATGGTGGACTTGTTGACCTGGCGAGTGAGGATCTTAGTCCGGTGTTGGTGTGATTATGCTGCGGTAAAGCCATGTAAAACCCAAAGCTTGGGAAATTGAAGCTTGCCACGTGCCCGCACAGGAGTCACAAAGGCCATGGATAAAGCAGACAGCACGATTTCACGAAGCGTTGGAATGAATCTGGAGGTCCAAAGGCTTTTCCATTCGCCCATTGGTTGCAGTTTATTTGTTGAGTAGTCATACCGTGTGAATGGAACCAGGCACTGCAAAGATGTAAACAAAATTAATCAAATGGAAATGGGTTGGAGGTCCTCCTATAATGTATTCCCTAACCCTGACTTTCAGACATGCATTTGGTAGGCGAGCATTTGCAGAGACCCCCAACCCTGCCCAAACCAATGGTGTTTTTGACAGGTTTCAGCCCAATGTTTGCTCTTTCCAGGCGTTGTTCGATGCAAAGGCCTCCCTATTCTACATGAGACCCGTAATGATGCTAGATCACCCGCGTTTTCAGTCCTTCGCCTGGTTGCCCTGGTCTTTTTCAAGGGCGTTCATTGATCATCTCAGTTGATTCGGCACGCGCCTCTCCCAGGACAAAGATGGTGAAGGAGATGATGCCTCCCCTGGTGGGGCTGGGAAGTTGCAGGTCGGGGGTGGTGACGTTTTTCAGAGCGAGGTGCTCAAAACTGCTGGGACCTCCAAAAGCCACGAGGTGTTCTCCCTGCGATTCATGAGAAGAGTCCAGGACTTGACGACCCCTGACGTTTGGAGCTCAGCTAGTTTTGAAGGGGGTATGTGGCTATAGGTGACTATCATGCCTGGCAAAAGCATCCAAAAGCGTCGAGAATGGCATGTCTCAGCAAACGTTTTACATATCAAAGGCACTATCAAACCAACCAACCAAACCAACCACGGCGAAAGACAAAGATTTCGGACCGAACCTTCGCCGACCGCGTTCGCTTCGCTCTTCGCTTTCGTCTGAGCCTTCAGGCAGCGATGCAGGCGCGGCGCCGGGCGATGCAGGACGCCGAGGAGGTGGACGAGAAGGCCAGTCCTCGCGTTTCGGTGGTCGCGGGAGAGAGAGAAGACATGGAATGGCGCAAAAGGAAGGGAATATATTGGTAATGTATTTGTGTGTGCATGGTCGCGTTTTGGTTGAACTGTGTCGGATAAGAAATGTTCAAGGGAAAGAATTGGGAAGTGGTTGAAAGAAGTATGGCTGAAGATTGATCTCTCATGGCAAGTTTGCATGTGAAGATACATTGAGATGGGAGTTGGTTGGAGCCCTAGGACCTAGGCACCGTTTGTCGGGCTGGGGGAAGGAATTCGGCCATGCCAGGTGAAGCGATCCAAGTGTCCCGGCGTGCAAGTGGCGTTTCGACCTCTCCGACATCACAAGCAGAAGATAGAACGATCAGAACAGGACAGACAAGAAAGAGAAAAGAAAGAGAAGAGACGAGACGGGAAGGGAAGGAAAGGAAGGGAAGAAAAGGGAAAGGACAGGAAAAGAATGGAAAGGACAAGAAAAGACGAAAGGAAAGAAGAGGAGGAAGAAGCCAGGAGAGATCTCTTCAGGCTGTTTTTCTTTTCCAGGAGGGTTGACCTCATGACCCGTCTACCCAGTGTGCCGATGTGTTTCCAGGTTGTTGTCTCTGAATTTTTGCAAGGTTTAGCGCTTGGACTTTGGAGCCGGGGCTTTCTTTTGCCAAGGGATGGGGCCACTGTGTTGATAGTGGCCTGGTTTTCTGCAGTGGCCCTGAACCCGAGCAAGCAGAGTTTTGGAGATGGAGGATTGCCGCAACCTTTCGTCATGGTTCCCTACAATATCCTACAATGCTCCTCAGATGGCTCAACAGAGGGCGCTTGATTGGCTTTGGAACGATGCGCGTCTTTCAGGTTTTTCCCCTACATCGTGGCGATCCTTTTCACGAACTTTGTATATAAGAGACCTGCCTGCAGACATACAGACATGGGGGATTAGCCTTAAGTTAGTGATAGCGCGGCTCTTCTGTCAGAGTGTCCCTGTGGGACAGCTGTGAGACAGCTAGGCCAACCAACTCATGCAAATCGCCCATGTTTGGCCTTGCATGAGGTGGAACATCAGTCTTTGTATGTCTTAGTCTTAGCCAAAGCACATTTGGTGGGTTTGAACACGTGTAGTTCTCAGCTGCTGGGTCCGGCGTGTGATGCCTATGTACTGCAGCTTGAACTTGAAGGGATCATCAATCCCTGTGACATGCTCATGTCCCTGTCACAGCTGAGGAGTGGGCTAAAAACCATGAGAGATTGGGCGAGCAAGATGCAAACGCACTTTGAGGACCTGCGACGGCACGTGTGTCACCGTTTCAGCGAGGGCGTGCTCTGGCTTGTGAGCAGTGCGTGGATCTTGTTCCATGTTTTTCCAACTCGGTGAGATCATTACCAGAGTTGTTAGACTCTCAAAACGAAGTCTACCGATGCCGAAGTGAGTAGTACGTTTACCTATATAAGGCATCGATGACTGGTTGATCTTGTTCGGCATCGATACTCCTGGTGTCCGATGCCTTTTCGGAAATGGCCACCGAATGGACTCGTCCTTCAAAGGTGAGGAGGTTCGACGTGGACCCGTGGAGGTCCGGATGATGGAGGTGGCTGTCGCATCCGCAAGCTTGGCTAGCTTGGGGCGTCCAGTGACGGTTGGCCTTTTAGAATGGGCCCTTTGAATAGGAACTATAGTTAGTGGGTCCAAGTTGCTATGTGGTTGAGATCTTTGTTCACCGACCAGACTTGATCGCATTGGGGTACTTGTCAGGACACGTGCCAAATGCAGATGCGAAACTGGGCAGAACTCTCTTTTGCACATGCGGTATGTAGACCTACAGCGCAGCTTAAGTGGTGGTGGTGGTGGTGGTGGTGGTGGTGGTGGTGGTGGTGGTGGTGGTTTGTCCTATGACTTCGGTTCATGTTGTAGACGACTACAGTGTGATAGTGTGATGCTGCCAGATCACAAGAAGCAGCTACCGTTGTAGATCCTCAAGGCCCAACTATGGCACCTTGTTCGCTAAGGAAGGCGAATGAGTGGAGTCTATATGTTTTGTTCGGCAAAAGAGTTATCTCGGATGCATTTGGTATCATTCGGTGCATTTCACCGTCCGGCGTCATCGCATGCATCGGCGGATCCGCACGTGGCGTTTGACTCAGGAAACTGCATCTCATGGCTCAGCCGTGCCCTCCGCACGTTTGCACGAACCCTGACCATGGACAGCCATGCAGGCCCTGTGATGGTGCACGGCGCACGGCGATCGTGCGTACTGGACGCGCCGGGATGAGTGCGGCAAAAGCTCATGTAGGTATGGATCATTGAGATTTTCCTTGAGTTATCCAAGAAGAATCTAAGTATATACTGTATTGTACGCAGCTAGCATTACCCAGCAAAGCAGACGTGGGTCAAAACCAATCGACGAATCGATCAACAAAAGAATGCTCCCTTTGTTCTTTGGGTGCTCACCCGTGATAGGGTGACCATGAGTCCTTGCAGCAATGGTGTGCTTGCGCAGTTGGCTCCATGTTTGTTTGTTAACAGTGCCATGCAGTGCCGCAGTCTTTATGAGCTTGTTTGCACCTTCGGAATGAATGGGAGCCTTGACAAAGGCGGTCATGATATCTTCAAAGTGTAGCACACAGATTTCAAACAGTACGTATGCAATCTAACAGCTACTCTACACTATACTGGATAGATGGGAATCTTCATCCTCCAGGCCTTGATTTAGCTCCTTCACGCTCCGGCACGATCAAGCTACTGGATTTAGGCGGGCCGCGGGCCTTTCTTTTTTCTTTGGGGCGGGGTAGAACGGGGCACCATGCTTTGGGAGCAATGCTAAGGGCTTTAAGAAAAGGTGTAAGTTCAAGAGCCTCTATAGTTTGAGTGTATATGTAGAACCCATTGAATTCCCGAACTAGACCCCCAAAGCCCAATTGAGAGCCCTTTGGATCACCTACATCCTACAATTCAAACGGTCACCTTGCCGGGTCACCTTGTCAGATCCCAGATGGCCTGTACTTCACTAGACCTCAAACAACCTTGTGCAAACAAGCATGTTACATCACTCTCAGAAACAATTACATAGATATACCATGCACATCCTTGGTATACCAATAATGGTACTAGTAGTACCAATGGTATATACCTCCAGTTATACCTGCTATCCGGTCACTTTCTCTCCTCCCCATGTCCTTCGCTTCTCCTCAGCAACGAGGCTCCGACTTGACGGCACGGCAACGCGGCGACCTCAGCAGTGGACGACTCACTTCCGGACTCACTCAGCGAGAAAACGGTCGGTGCATCGGTGATTCGAAAACATGTGAACATAGTTTCAGTTGGGCCCGTGAACAAAGGATATAGTATACTAATCCTGATTCTTTGATATGCATTGACATTCTTGTATCATTGAAATTCTTTTGAGGATGACGCCTCAACCACCGTCCCTGGCACCTCCAGTCCAGTCTTCGCTTCGTTTGTCTCAGGACTGGCCATCCGTGCCTACGTTTTGTTCGACGTGCTGCTCACGGGCATCGAAGCGCCCCCCCAGCCGTGCCGTGGTGGGAGATGAGCGATGGGTGGGGGGAAGAAGTCCCTGGATGCCGCAAGCAAGCTACTTGCGCCCAATGTGTCAGCAGCTGGGATAGCTGAGTCAACCTCCTTGGGGTTGAATTTTGAGATGTTTGGTGGCTGGGAAACACCTTGACGCAGCTGTCAGGATGAGTTCGAAGTAAGGTTGACTGAGTCAGGATTTGCTTGCTTGTCAGAATGAACCAAAACTGCAAAAGGCCATCAAAAAGCGCATCACTTTGGACCGCTCTTGGGGAGCTCTTCGATGGATCGAGGCTGACGCGTTTCCTCAGTCGCCTAGCGCAGCCGGAGGGCATTATGTTGTACGCCACTTGGCGCTGGTAGAGTCTCCAGGTGGGGAGTAGATCATGGCATTGTTAACTTGAGAGGTTGCTACGTATCCCACAAGAACTCAGCAGAAGAATGGGCTTTGGGCTTAGGGCTTAGGTACCTGGGTGAGAAAACATATTTGCTATATTGCTATATACGTATAATAACTTAATGCATTTGGAGCCTTATTATAATAGATAATTTGAAGAAAGGGACGACGACCTGGATGTTTCTCACAGTCCACTGGATCCAAAAGAATCCAATCAATCAATTTTGTTAGAGAGCCACGTGACTGATATTTGCAGTCTTTGCTTGGAGGTTGAGATTTGAGCCTTGTCGAGACGTGTAATCTTTGCATCCTTTTACATGGAGACACCGAACCCTGCTGCTGAGATACCAAAGACCTACTTTACCGAGTCGGAACAAGAGGAGCTGAACTACGATGAGAGGTGCAAGTGGTCAATATGTTCTCACAAAGAGACCTGACCTAACTAGATTAACTAGGACTTCCATAGACCAAAGTCAGGTGGAAATTCAGATGAGCTAACCTAGCCTAGTTAGGTTGTGTGCGCTCTTAGGCTTGAACAGCTTGCACAGCTTAGGCTTGAACTAGAGGTAGTTGGTAGTTCCTCGGGGACTAGGAAGATGTTGGTCCAAGGGATTTCAAGGGGTTGTTCACATGCCTCGCCTTTGGAGATAGACGCTCCAGTCGAACACTGCCAGGGGTGGCATCCATTCTCAGCCACAGAGTCGACAGCATCAGCAGCTGGTGGCAGGCTTTCTCATCCCAAGATCCTCGTCACTGGACGAGTTGGATGACCCTAATTATGACTGGAGCTTAGTAAAGAATCAGCAGCCAAGCACCAGCCCAGAGAGTGTCAGAGACCTCTTCTTCCGACGGCAGATCCTTCCCTCGCCATCAAATCACTTCCTTCGGGCAGACCCGGTGCTGCACATCAAGCGCTCCGCCCCGCCGCGAGTCGAGCGCCGGGCGAAGTCGAGCGCCGGGCGTGGTGACCAAACACCGGGTGAACCACCGGACGACGGATTGAGGAGCGCTCTTGGGTGGTCTCTTTGCCAGTTGGGTGCGGACCATGGACAGCGATGCCAGCGTGGGCGCCGAACGCGGCAAGAGGCGCCGTTTCCGCGGCGTTTCCGCGGCACGGAACCGGACGGGGAGAAGCTGACCACGGTTCCTTCGGGGACGACCAGTAAGGGGTGTCAAGTTCGATCATGAGAGTTGGATGGTAGCTACAGGACACACTGTTGGTAGCTATAGGAATCTGGCCAATTTGGGGAATAGAGTCTGAGTGATGGGAATGGAATTGTCCCACAGGGCCTGCTGGTACTTGTACGAGTTTGCACGTCAACTTTGCGGAAGCCCAACACTTCCAAAAAGACTGTGGCTGGTAAGTGCCAAGCAAGAAGGATCAAGACAGATCAAAAATCAAGAAAGAAACAAATCACGAAGCACTGCACTTGCTTCTTGAGGGCCTAGGTGTGCATTGAAACTTCACTGAAAAGCACAAAGGACAGCAATCACAGACCAAACCTGCACTCTTGGAGCAGCCAAACATGTGTTGCTTCTCGTTTCCTGCACTTTTAATTCCGCAGGAACATCCAGACCTTGGGCGCGCTCATCTACCTGGGCTGCCAGAAGAAGTACGACACATCTCTGCAGTGGACGACGCAGTACATTCGCACCGATTCACTCACAATGCGCAGATCGAATTGTTCGATTTATCCGACCACTCGGATGGTGGGTGACCCTGGGTTGCGGATGGTTGCGGATGACCTGGTCTTGGTGCCCTTGGTGACAATGGATGACCATGGTCTTATTGGGGGGGGTCCGCAGGTGCGCAGCTCCTTCAAAAGATGGTACTACCTTAAAGACTTATATATAGTAATAAGTAATGTGTTTATAATAGTATGTAATAATAAGATGGCATCTTAAAGATGGAGCATGCTAATAACATGATATGTTAGATGTGCTTGTCCCAGGTTCCAAGTCACGTTTGTTCGTCCTCTCTCGGCTCGGCTCCTCGGGCTGATCCACATTTTCAGCGGCGCTTGAAAGCCGCGAACGCATGAGTCAGCAGAATTTCTGAGACAATGACAAAGGTATTATACAGATCAAGAAACAGCACGGAACGAAAAAGAGATTCAAGTGAATACGTATAGTGAAAACCCACATATCAATAACACCACGGGATTGGAACCTGACCCACGGGATTGTTCTTGACCCATTCCACGCGTTCGTCCATTCACCCGCTTCGTCGCAAACCACGGTCGTTCGAACACCGCGTCGCTCCGACCCACCGGACCGGTCGCTCCGCAGCGACGCCGCGACCGGCTGCGACCCGCGGCAGGGCAGCTCGGGTCGCGCCCGTGGCCTGAGGAGTTGATCGGAAGCGTCCACGACATCCCTGGGTTGTCGAGCGCCACTAGCGATCGACTCACCCAGCCGCTCGGATGGCGGGCGAAGGTCAGACGGATGGAATGAGCGGAGAGCTGAAGCAAAACGCCGGCAAAGGGCTGAATGCTTGGGGAGAAGTAGCTGGAAGAGGTAGAATTTGTTGATGTTTGGGGTGAAACTCGCCACGACATTTTGGCTGAAGGTGGATGAAGGTGGTGTGATGTCAGGTTCACATACATCAACATGAGATTCGCACCACCCACTGACCACCATTTCAGCATGATTTTAGTTCCAAATCTTTTGCAGTGCCTTTATTCTGTAGGATTAAACTAACTGCAGGATGAAAGTTACCTGCCACAGAATGTCCTAAGTTTGGATGAATTACCACTCCTATTTGTGTTGATGCCAAAGTAGAGACCAAAATAACTCTGGCTTGAGAGAGGCTGAGAGATTGCAGAGCTTCATGTTGACCACACCGTGTGTGAACGGGAGTTTGCCCCCCCCCCCCACACTCCCATGCACGTGTGCACCTCAGATTCGGCTTGGACAAGCGGCTGGTTGCGGAAGTCGCGGTGGCTTGGCAGAGAAGGCCATGCGCCTGTTAGGAGCACCCAGGCTACCACAAGACAAGAATCCGTCACGGATGCTTTGCAAGGTGAATTGCACATTCCTTTGGGATACGAACGCGTTCTTTGTTGTCAAGCCGTGTCTAGCCCGCCCTTGGTTGGACGCCAGTGAGTCCTGCACTGATGCCTTGGGGGGGGGGGCAGAGTTTTTGCCACCCCGAAAGAACCTTTTCCCACACCCGCACCAAGCTGAGGAGCTCATTGAGAAGTTGGTGGTCTTCTTTACGCAACCAGACGTTCCTTGGATAGTTGCAGTGTATCCTAAATCCAGTCAGGATAGTATAGAGGATATACTTTCAGGTCTGTCGGCGCAGGGCGGGGTCACTGGCAAAACTGGTGTTTTCTTTCTCACCAATCCGGACACATGCTTTGGCAATCCAAATGTCCAACACCTCGCATCGAGCAGAAGTCCCAGCTCAAAAAGACTGGCGGAGATATGCTGGTCATATTTCACAGCTCCAAAAGCGCACTCGGATTCCAGACCAGGTTTCGACCAGGCTTGACCTCCCCGATCCCTCCTGGGCCCGACGACTCGAGGCTCAAGTCTCCATGGTGGAGCGCGTCCAGTCGAACCCCTTCGTGGCGGGGAACATCAAAGTGGCTCCGCGCGACCATCATGGCGAAGGCAGCGCAGCGTGGCGACCACCATGGGTGTTTCGGCGCGGGGAAGCGGGGAGCGGCAGAGAGCGAGGTTGGGATGAGGACGGGCAGCGCGAGCAGGCAGCCGATATTAATCAGGCACCTTCAAATAAGTACCGTGATATACAGTAATGGCGCCAACTGAGCCACCTGGGCCAGTTGAGGGGAGTTACAAGGATCGAACCAACCGAGCCACCTCAGAGTCATCGCTGGAGGGTTCGGTCCGCCGGTCAAACACAGACAACATGCAGGGACCCAAAAACACCGGCATTAGCAGGAGATTTGCTTTGTTGGGATGAGCGCCGTCAAGAAGGCCCGCTTGCTCGGCCCTGGTCTCCGGCAGGCAAGGCTTCAAACAACAAGGCTTCAAACCACCACCCCCACCACCACAACCACCCCACAACAGCAATCACCGCATTCGGAGCTCGCCCGTTCTCCGCTCCACTCATCTCCCCTCTCCAGGTGCCGAGCCCGCCGTGGTGGCGGACGAGGCGGCAGACACGCCGGTGAGTCCGTTTGGGAGCTCAGCATCGATGGCTGCGGACGACACGAACCATCGATGGCTGCGACATCGAGGTTGGTCACCACGATTGGTCCAAAAGAAGACGGCGGTTGGTCGCCATCAAGGTTGGTCACCACCCTGATCAAGGTGGGTCATCATTGATTGAAGGGTGGCGAGCAACCCTACAGGCAGCACCCGGTCCCTATCTGTCACTACATGTCCCTATAGATGCTCCATCTATAGTCCACCTTTCAGGTGTGGACTCGCAAATTCACAGGCCCACGGTATCCACGAGATGCAGCGGCCCCACACCGGGGGAGACTCCACAAACTGCCACCAACCAACTTCCACCTACAAACTGCCACCAACCAACTGCCACCAACCAATTGCCATCAACCAACTGCCATCAACCAATTGCTACCAACAAACTTCCACAAACCAATTGCGATTTGCGTGGCAGGCGCAGCACTTGGTGCACTCCACGGGGTCGGATGTACGCCCTGGCGTCGCCCTGGTGCTCAAGGGTCCTGGCGTCGCCCTGGCGTTCTGTTTTGTGTTCCAGCACCGCCGCTTACCCACCAACCAACAACCGCCAACCACCAGCCAGCAACCAACCACCAACCACCAACCGACCACAACCACCAATATCCACCGTTGTTAACATGTCGGGTTATCCGGTCGTTTAATGTTTGTCTATTTGGGCGGACAATTGCCTCAGGTTCGTTAAACTGCTGATTTCAGCAGGTTTATCACCAACCACCGCCAGCGCCAAAATTCACAGGATTGCGAGAAGCAACAAAGAGCTGTCAAGCTGACATTTTTTGCTGGTACGCTCCGGTCTTGGTGGGACAAAAATAAGACACTTGCCCCAAAACCAGTAAGGGCCAAATATACAATTACACATCTTGAAAGACAGAACCAGAACAGAAAATGGCAAGGGGTGAGTCGCAGAGACATGCAATGGAAGACGGAACGCACTGTTCGCTAGGCGTATCTATGCCAAAGTAGTTGTAGGTGACAAGGCCGCTAGAGCCAAGCGTTGGAAGTGACAAATGCGAGACTCTTGGCACGCTCCTAAGCGAGTGTGCAGTGCATGCCGGAACACCCATGTTGATGTGTTATGAATGGTGGTTTGGAAAGGTTTCAGGGATAGATTTGCATCGGATTTGGGGTTTTGGTTTCCGATGATGTTGTGTTTTCCTTTCATGTGATGTAGATGCTTGTCTAAACTTGGGCCGCATGCGTGTTACCAAATGTTACCATTCCACGACTTGGTTTTGCATACGGTTGTGGTTCAAGCAGTTCGGCTCTCACTTCGTGAACCTTTGTGACGCCTGTGCTCCTGGGCATCATGTGGCGCATCTTGGCAACTTTGTTGTTCACCGCGGTGGCGCAGTTCACCACGGACAAGTTGGATCAGATGGCGGAGTCCGTCCAAGCTTCTGCAGATTCGTTGCAGGAGAAGGTGGTTTCTTTGAGCAAAGCCATCCAGCCCCTGGTCACCAAGATCCCGACGTACGGGAGTCAAATGCTGAACGCCGGGGCCGATGCGGAGAAAAGGCCGCAATTGAGAAGGAGCACAAGGCCAACATCGCAACGATGTGCAAGGACATTGATTTCCAGCAGGGAGCAGCTGGAGGGAGCCTGCTTTGGATGCACCCGTCACAGGACCAGAGCCATTCTTAATTCTTACTTAATTGCTCTTTTGTAGGGTCCTCCTTCTCTAGCTTTGGCTGTTGGGACAAATCCAAAGCAAACCCACCAGAAGTATCAATCAAAGACTACTGTACATTATGTATAATATACAAGTTGCACATGTAATTGCTCAGTTTCTTTTTTCAGGTCAGGTCATATCCTCCAACCTGCTGGGAACCCCTCCAACCCCCAACACCCTTCTCAGGCGGAAGTCCATTGCCGGGCGCCCCAGAGACTTGATACCTTGCTTGGTCAAGTCTTTTGAGACCTGAATGATTTACGCAAAAAATGTTTGCCAGGACCCTCCAAGGGGTGCCCTGTCTGGAAGCCTATAGGTAGTGTGGGGTAGTCCATTGGACACCCCTTGGAGGGTCCTGGTGTTTGATATGTTCAGAGCCCCACTCTTAGAGTGTTTTGATGTGTAATCCGATATGTGGCCTGGTCGACGATTCGGCCGAAAACTATGATCGACGGGTGTGGGGCTCCCATTCCGCTTTCCGAAAAAGCCCCCGCAACCCGGACAGGCTGGACTGGAGCTTCTTTGCGAAACAAGGGTTGGTTTCGGGACTGGATTTTAGGACTCTGGATCTGGACAGGCTGGACTGGACTCTTCTTTTCATTATATACATACCACTGCACCCAGTCTCTCCTTTTCCGCTCTGACCGGGTCTTTGAGGTCTGCAGGTTGACCCAGACCCGCCCAGACCGGTTTCAGGTGGACAAGATCCGCTCCATGACGCCCGCCCTCTCGGAAGCGGCCAACACCGTCCAGCAGCGTGCCGGACGTTTGAGGCCCGCCCGACCGGACCGGCACCGTTGGGTCGGTCGGAACGTGTGCGGGTCGACCGGACTGCTCGGTTGTTCTGAAAGGATCGATCAAACGAAGGCAATCGGGGATGGTCCCACTGCTTGTGTGTATTTTGCTTTGTGTGTGTGTGCTTGACCGTTTTGAGTTTGTTGATAGTGCACGTGAGGCTTTGGCTGTATAAAAGGGTATGGGATGCCAGATCAAATGTCAACGTCGGTGAGACCAAATGTGAAGGCGCTGGACTGGACTTATATTGAGCGCATTCATATGTCATATGCATTCCATGAGTTATATGAGTTCCACAACACAATGAAGTCATAAAGTGATATTCATGAATCATCATCTACACCGTAGGCCTCGTAACATCATGTTCAATAGCCAAGGAGTTGGACTTTAATGACCAGAGGATGAGGATGAATAACCGAGTCTCAGGCCCGGATGACCTGGTGTTTTCATAGAATCCTACTTGCATGGCTGGACTATGCTTGTCAGTTCCTACCCTTGTGTTTTCATAGACTCCTAAATAGTCGTGGCGGCTGTTGCCATGTTTCCTTGAAAACAGATGGTTCGAAGATGTTCGAAGTGTTTGAGGGAGGGTGGCTCCTGGGACAGGCAGTCAGTGGTTGCACCTCGCATCAAAATGGATCAAGCGACTCGTCTAGAGCAACGACTCGTCTAGACGTGCCGTGGGGGAAGTTGGCCAGTTGGTCTGGAGTGAAACACACGGAAAAATAATACTGCAAATGTCAAGAATAATCAAGAGTTATTGCTTTTTTAGGGGGTCTGGAGTGAAACAACATGAAACAACTACTGTAAGGGAAATGATCACTAATGCATGTTTAATTACTATGGTGGCAATCATGTTGGTCATGACGATGATGATGACCGTGCTTTCTGCGGCTCACTCTTCCGAAGGGTTTGGCAAAATGTTTGCATGTCAATGTGCATTCAAGTGGGCCAGCACATACACCCATGACCGGTCCTTCTTGCGTACGCAGAATCAAGCGGCCGCTGGAAAGGCAAATGTAGGTGAAAGGCACATGACCTCCAGTAGAGATGAATCCTTTTGAAACTGGAATCCTTCTGAAACTGGAATCCTTCGTTATGAATCCTTCATTGTTTCATGTTGAATCGTTGTGAAACTCCATTGGTTTCGTTGGCAGTTGCACTTCGGTTTCGGGACTGTTGTCCCCTTTGCGAACTTGTTTGCATCGCGCCATGTGCAGCGTTATATTGGCGCTTCACTGAATTCCCCTCCATTCCCCTGTCCCAGTCAACCAATTTCGAAGTCGTTCAAGGATCAACACCATTTTGTCGCCAAACTCTGTGTTTGTGTGAACATGTGTGAATATTGGCAAAAGACGACATCAAGCTCAGCTATATCCACTACTGTAACTATCACTCGCTGAAACTGTTTCCGACAAACTACAGTTGTTTCAGAGTAGATGGCACAAACCCCAAGATGTCCTTTAGATTGGGCTCCATATACACCACCTTTTGGGGATTGTGCCATCTATTCCTGAACCCACTGTAGCCCAAAGAACAACTGCGGGAGGCCCAACTGGGACTGCGCCGGATCAGGTCGTGCCAACTGCCGATGCCGAACCGCCCTGAGGGATGAAGGGATGAGAGCGAGCTCGCTTGGGCGGCCCAAGAAAGCAGCCTCGTTTGAGTCAAAAACAACGATAGAATTCAGAACATTCAAAAAGAACTCAGATCACCTTCTCCATGGCAGGCCCACAGCAAAATTGAATCACTATGATGCTTGATTGTTTGGACGATAGGTCACGAGCAAATCCAAGGCCGAGACTTGTCAGTGTTTCAAGCACTTCTTCAAGAAGACCCACACCAAGAGGAGTAAGCTTCGAACATCAACCCCGTTCAGGAAGCCCTACTGAAATCTCAAAGCTTGGCTGAGAGAATTCCCCATTTTAACAGCTTCTGACGAAGCTGTCATTGCGAAAGCATCCGAGCATGGCAAAGAGCAGAAGCGCGAAGCGTTCGGGATGATTGAAATAAGGATGTTTGGGCATTCTAGTTTCAAGCTGCTTGAAGTAGCAACTCGTGTTTGATTTCGGTGCGGCTGAACCTTGGGGTTGAAGACATTGGCGGAGTTTGAAAACACGTTCGTGCAGATTATAAAACTAAGATGGTTGAGATGCGTCGACACTGCGTCGTCCTGAGCTGATCAATGCATCTCGTAGTTCATTCCTTGGGACGCAAAGTTGGACATGTTGTTCGGCCAGCACGGGCTGGCCCTTCATCCACCGAGCCAAGACTTGTATTCTGAATCGTTCCAGCAACAGGATCATGAGCGAACGGTCAGTAGCAACTGTCCGAAAACTTTAGGAAGCTTGAAATATGTGACCATGTGTTTGGTTTTGTTCGTCCGGCAGTTCTTTGCCGGGCAGTTCTCTGCTCCTGATGGGTTTGCACCCTCGCAATGGCCCGTTGGCAAGCAGTGATCATCGGCCTCGGTGTGCGGGAGACAGAATCCGACCCCCGCCTTGATTCCCCCGGGGCGGGATGCACGACGACTTGCTGCGACACTGCAATTTTACTGGCCTTTGTCAGGATCCCATCCTGGTTGTTGACGACGATCAGCACCTATGCAGCGAAGACGAGATTCAGGAGGCGCTCAAGCGTGCAGTGGAGAAGCTGGGCGAATCGTCGAAGCTCTTTGTATACTTCGGAGGGCACGGATATGATGACGACGGTTTGACGGTTGTGTTGCCACAAGGCTGGCAGGGAGAGACCTCAGAGCTGTTTGTCCTCCAGTACCTGGTCATAGAAGCAGTTGCCAAATGCAAGCCCTTGCAGGTCATGATCATAAGTGCCACATGCAGACCCAATGTGATGGAGGATGTTGATTGGAAGGTTGCAGACCTTTATCTTGAGAAACGCTTTTACCAACGAACGCCGTATGAAGTTTCATGCATAAGATTTGTGATGCAAAATAAATGTTGGTTCATGCTCTTCCATTGAAGCAGGCCGAAATCACAATGTGTATGCAAAACGTTGTACTTTCTCGAGCTCCCATTGGTTGGCTTCAGCCCCCTACGTACGCTTTGTTGGGAGCCTGTGCTACATGTTGAATGAGGCCATGCTAGATTGGAGGCCATTCCTATTAGGTTGGAGGCCATCGCTTTTTTGTTGGAGGATATCGCTCTTAGGTTGGAGGCCATCGCTCTTAGGTTGGAGGCCATCGCTTTTAGTTTGGAGGCCATCGCTAGGTTGGAGGCTCGTGCTTTTGTTTTAGCCTATGGATCTTGTGGAACTGGCTGCCTGGGTCGCGGAAGGAACGTCACTTTCCTTCAGCGGACCAACCCGTTGGATCGCAACCGTGCGCCCCGGTCGGGTCACCTCGAACGACCCGAAAGCGGTGTTTTTAACGGTGTTTTTGGAGCCTGGTGGACTTCCATGTTATTCAAAAAGCAAAGAATCCAGCATTGTTTGTTCAGAGAGGGCATGCATGTGTGTAAGGTGCTATTTCTTTTGGCATAGGATGGCCAGGTAATCTTAGCTGGATGATGAGTCCATAGCTTGCTAAACAGCCAGCATCTCCGACGCGAATGATAGACCTTTTGTTCATGTTTGTTCCCTTTTGACACTCCAGCTCACTGCACGCTTGTTTTGCCATATGCACAAGAAGAGGATGATCCCTGTAGGAGTAACGCCAAAAAAAACTAAGCCTATACTTGTGGAATGTCCCTGACCAATATTGTGTCCGCTGTTGTAGGCCATTCGACACCAACACTCCTTGCTTTTGGGATCTCCGTGAAACACCTTTCTTCTCCGCTGAACCGGTGTTACGGCTCCAGCACCGACTGTTGAACAGCTGCGAGACGATTCGCCATGGGTCTTGTCCGAACGAAGACTGTGAAGAAGGCGACAGCCACGAGAAGATCCAGAAAGAGAGGATTCCGCCTGCGCGGTGGTTAAGAATAGCTTTGTTTTCCATCCAAAATTGTGAATACTCACAGTTGACCAATTGTCAGAACATGGTTTTCAAATAGCCAACCAGCTCATCTACTCTTGATGTGCAGATTTTCCCGCACTACCTTGGCAACTAGAAGAAGTGATGCTCTATTTCGAGACAATGGGGCACTGTATACATTCATCAAGGCTAACGATTTTTTGGTAGCGCTGACATTCAAGAGCAGGTTGGTTCTCAGCCGACATGTCGACCTCTGGACTTCTTGTTGGCCCTCTTTTTCGCACTTTCACCGGTTTTTTGCATGTGCGAAGTGGCCCAAACTCAGATTCAGAATATAATTTGCATCCAAAGAATGAGTGCAACCCTGGGGGGGTGGAGGTTCCAACCTTTGAGGTAAATTCAAACGAAGAGGTGGGAGTGCAGGGGACTGCCGGAACACCATGGACCATGTACATACACCATGAGTCTGTTCGACGAGTATTTTGACGTTTTGTCCACGACACCGTGGATGTCCAGTGCATCTTGAAGGGGCAGAAGAAATCTGGGTTTCGCCACAAGGCAGTCTCTCTCTCTCTCTCTCTCTTTCCAGCACTTCCATCCGGAGAAATGATGCCGGCCGCCGGCCCCGCCCTGTTCTCCGTGTCAGGCCGCACGGGTGATTGTGGAGAAGTACTATGGCAAGTTGATCTTGGATTTCCAGCACCGGCCCCTAGAGGAAGCGGTCGTTTCTCCGCCCCGCAAAAGCGCTGAACAAGCGTCATCCCAAATTCGCGATGGTGCTCAAGTTGACTTAAACACACATTGGCTTGGGTGGTTTTCTCTTGGTGTACCAACTCGCCGTGGGACGGGCGGCTAGCCGTGGGTCCCAATCGCCCGTCCGACCGTCTCCGGGCTACGAATCGTACGTATGATCGGCTCCAGAGTCGGAGGGGGTGCAGCAGCGAAGCCACGAGCAAAGGAACCCTGTTGGCTTCGATGATGGAGGTCGGGTGACCGATGGATGCTCGGCACAGTATCGACTCAGAGAAGAGTCGACCGCCAGCCAGAGGGTCTACCCTATACGGCAGTATAGCATTGTATACCCTATGGAGGCACAGTATCGACAGAATATGACCCAGTCCCTCACCGATTTGAAGCTCCAGAAAGGAAAGTTCGACAGTGGAGGTGCGACCGCCACAAGCAGAAATGAAGGGCCACAAGCTTTTGGAAGACTTCGGAAAGCAGATGGAATTGAACCAATTGGAACTTGGATTGGTTTTGCCTTGGACGGTCTGCAGTTGTGGGTTCTTCCAGTTTCACTTTCGTTCCATTTACGAAGACGGATGTCTTTGTCTAGGCGTTCTCTAGGTGTTCTCTAGGTGTTCTAGTTATGGATCCTCAACTTATGCGTCGTGGAACGAACAGCTGGGGACTTGCTGCCGAATTACAACTGGTGGTAAGGGCACCAGTGGTGTTTCCATGTGTTCCCAAACAACCATCGGTCATTTGGGAACCGAAATTCGGAGCACGTTGAGCGCGAGCCGCCGCAGCCGCTTTGTTCGCGATTCAACTTGAGTTGTGAAGCGAACTCACTCCCCTCTCTTTTCGTCTCAACTTGCTCGAAGCGACGATCGCAATGGCTGAAGTAGGCCCTCAAGGTTGCGCCGAGAACCACGTTGAGGCTGGATGGGCTCTTTGAGACTTCAGGAACAAATACATGTTCTTTTGGGCACTGGTCTCGTGACCCGACGGTCCTGACCTAGGTCAGTCCTCCATGTTTGGAACTCCATGTCAGGTCCGAATGGCCGGCACGAAAGCCACCAAAAAGGACATCGGAAATTGAGAACACGTTGCAAAAGGATGACAAAATAAACATGATGACAATAGTTGTATGTTGTCAAGCTATGTCAAGCTAGGCTTTTTTGATTTCATGTGGCTTGGTGTGGTAGCTTGCATTCCATTGCATACAGCATATCTCAAAAAAAAAACGGGAGTTTGACATGGAATCTGAAGCTCGCTTATTTAAGTATGTTCAGATGTTCTTTGTTCTACGGCTGATTCTCTGTATTTTCATAGCTATGCACGACCCTCACAGCAGCTTCTGAAGTGCTCTTCGTCAGAAAAGAATTGGTCGCATGCGTGCAAACAAAAACCACATACAATGAACACATGCAGGAAATCCTCACATTGGCACAATATCATATTTACTCCTATACTTTTCCACGAAAAAGAGTGAACCTTATACAACAAACGGGTTACGCCAATTGAATATGTGGAGGTCGGGCTACGGGCAACTCCCTCAGAGAATGCATCATACATCGAACGTAATCACTGTCCCCCATAGCACCCTGTACATCGCATTCATCGTCGAACCGCCTTACGCATGAAGCGTAGAACCGAACGCAGCAGCGAGCATCGAACATATATAACAACACCCCCAAAAACCAGCAAACGCACGTGGGAGCTGGGACCGTTGCGGCTACTGTCCGCGGAAAAAGGACAAGTCTCAATGCAGCTTTGACTGGCACCAATTTGGTTGGCTGCAAGTAAGTGAGGGTGACGGTGGCGAAACCAACTGACAGAAAATGACAACACTGTGACACTCAATCTAAACATATTCAAACTTAGATGTTCAGTTTGCCTTGAAAAACGAAAGCAGAACTCTAAAGCCACTGCGCTTTAATAGGGTATTGGTATGAACATCAATGTTCTGTGGTGAGTGCACTCCACCAGTTTGTTGGTTATTAACCTGTGGTTTGCTCGGCAGCCACGAACCCTGTTTCTCTATAATACGGGTCTCTGCATATCGCTTTTTCAGTTCCAGGTTTGTTCTGGAGAAACCTTTTGGGGACTGATGATTGGTGTAGGGATTCATGATGATTCATGATCCCACGAGACGATGAAGTGAATCTGGCGATCGAAGCACACGTCGATGTCTGAGCGTAATTGTTAAAGTCATGGAAATGAGGAGCACAACAGAGACACATACCCCGTATACCTTAAGTATGTGAGTGGAACGAGTGCTTTGCTCCAACAACCGCGGCCCCAGGCACAGGGTCAAAACTTGATCTTGCCTTTGAATTCGAACGTCGATGGAGGCGAGCAACGTTTTCTTTTTTCTGTCTTCAAAGGCACGCTCAGGATGCACATTTCAATTGTTGCACTCATCATGCACTCCGACGAAAGAATGTGTTCGGACCGAGATGTGACGGATGTCTAGGTTTCAATCGCTTTTTCAAAGCAGATTGGGCAAGGTTCATAGGATTCATAGCAAACAGAGGAGAGAAACATAATGGAGGCCATCACTCTTAGGTTGGAGGCCATCGCTATTAGGTCGGAGGAATCGCTAGCAGGTTGAAGGCCATTGCTATTGGGTTGGAGGCCATCGCTCTTAGGTTGGAGGCCATTGTTATTAGGTGGGAGGCCATCGCTCGTGTCCGCCCCAATGGACTCGGGGGGAGCTTTGAAAGGACCCGAAAAGGACGCGTTCATTTTTGGCACCCTGCAGGTCATAGGTTCCTTGGTTTGAACAACTTGGCATTGAGTTGATAAGAATTTGGACTGTCACAGGTGCCCACTCCCGGGTGAAATTCTTCTCCTCGGATGTCTGCACAGGCTCTCAAGTGGCCTTGCCGGGTGCCTGGGTGGTTGGTGACTCCAACATATAGAGGTCATTCAGGTTCTAACTATAGTTGAGGATTGGCCGAAACAGTTCCGCGGGATTGAATCGCGTGGCGATGCGGGATACGCGGCGAACACGCCGACACTCAGGCATTCGAGAACAAGATCCGGACATCACCTTCTTGGACAAAATGAAACAAGGACGCTACTAGGAGTAAAGGGCATCGCTACTAGGAGCAAGGATGCTACTAGCAGCGAACCAACTTCCCTTGGTTCCAAATGATTCCAGGTTGTGAAGTTTATCGGCGTTCTTGGATTCAAGAGCAATTGAGGTGAGAGAATATGAGATGGTGCACCATAAAATGAAAAACAGATCTGGAAGGGGTTGTGGGATGTAAAAAACTATTAACGG